TAGTGAAATCGATAAAGTTCGTCCAAGTGGAAGCAATGTGAGAAGTGAGGAATTGAATTCGACTCAATCTCAATTGCAACCTTTTGATGAGACGATTCCGTCATTATCTAATCCAAGTGGGAGCATAATGGAGAATGATATACCACGTGTACAATCTCCCATACGGCGAACAAGTCGCAAAAGTATTCCCCGACGACGTTTTGACATTGAAGGGGAAACTTTCATGATCGCTCCACAAAATGAAGACGAGCCAAGGAATGTAAATGAGGCTCTAAATTGCCCTAACAAAGAAAAATGGATGATTGCAATGAAAGAAGAAATGGAGTCAATGAAGTCAAACCATGTTTGGGAACTGGTTGATCTTCCAGAAGGACGCAAAGCTATTGGGAATAAATGGGTTCTCAAAATAAAATGCAAATCCGATGGCTCAATAGAAAGATATAAGGCTCGCCTAGTGGCGAAAGGGTATAATCAACAGGAAGGAATTGATTATGAAGAAACTTTCTCTCCTGTAGTGAGATTTACCTCAATTCGCCTTATTCCGCAATAGTGACAAGCATGGATCTTGAATTACATCAAATGGATGTAAAGCGCTTTTCTAAATGGAGAATTAGAAGAAGAAATTTACATGGAGCAACCAGTTGGCTTCATTGTGGAAGGCCAAGAACAAAAAGTATGTCGACTTCTAAGATCGATATATGGCCTTAAGCAGTTTTCGAGACAATGGTATATACGTTTTTATAATGCCATAGTGGCGTTTGATTTTACAATGATTGATGAAGATCATTGCGTGTATATCAAAAGATCCAAAGTTCAATTTGTGATTTTATCATTATATGTTGATGACATACTGATTGCCGGAAGCAATATGGAGTTGGTTAATACTATTAAGAGTTGGTTATCGTCCAATTTTGAGATGAAAGATATGGGTGAGGCTGCATATATTCTTGGAGTTAAGATTTCAAGAGATCGTTCCAAGAGATTATTGTCTCTTTCGCAAGAGACTTATATAAATAAAGTTCTTGAACGATTTTGTATGCAAGACTGTAAACCCATGGATACTCCTATTGCAAAAGGTGAAGGATTGAGCTATAGGTTGTGTCCTAAGACTCCACAAGAGAAGGAACAAATGAAACGTGTTCCTTATGCTAGTGCTATTGGAAGTTTAATGTACGCTATGATGTGTACAAGACCGACATATGTTTTGCGATTGGGATGGTAAGTAGGTACCAATCCAATCCAGGTCAAGCACATTGGAAAGCCGTAAAAAGAATCATGAGGTATCTAAAGGGTACTGCTAATTATTCACCGAGTTATCAAGGCAAGGATCTGCGACTTGAAGGCTACTCGAGATCTGATTGGGGAGGAGATTTAGATGAAAGGAAATCTACCTCGGTTTTGTTTACTTACCGAATAATGGCGCCATATCTTGGAGCAGAAGAAACAAACATGTATAGCATTGTCCACGATGGAAGCTGAGTTCGTGGCGTTGTCAGGAGCAGTACAAGAAGGTGTTTGGCTTAAGAGATTTTTGGATCATTTAGGTGTTGCTAAGAGTGCTGAAAACTCATTGTTAGTCAATAGTGATAGTCAAGCAGCAATAGCATACACCAAGGATCCGAAATATCATGGCAAGACCAAACATATAGATACCAAGTATAACTTTGTCAAGGATATGGTTGCACGAAAAAATGTGAACTTGCAGTACATATCTACGCATAGAATGATAGCAGATCCTATGACGAAACCAATTCCAAGAGATGTTTTCTATGGTCATGTAAAATCTCCGGGAGCGTAGAAAGTGATGTACTGAATATTGTATTTTTCCCCGAGTGTTCACATTTAATGAAGTTACTCTCTCATTATTAATGCCTATGAATTTATTTAATATTTATGCATCTTAATGCTTAGTGCATTATATCGAGAAAGTATGTTCCGATGATGAGATTAGCCCACTTACACGGGTAATCGCCTCTATTTATGTGCGATAAATAGAGATGAGACAATTTTTAGGCTTATTATCTAGGTGATAATCGAGAGCTCAAGCTTAAAATAAAAATGTTGCCTTAGCTAAGTGCCAAGATGAGGACATAACATTTACTATGTCCGAAAGTAAAATAACCCACATATTTTACTTTATCTGTCTTTGATGCCAGATGTGAGTTCTAATGGATTCTTTAGAGGAGTAGATACGTGAACTCAAGTTTAGACATTAGGTATGTCTGAACTATCATCTGTACGGTATTGAATGTAAAGACATACACTCCACGGGAAAGGAGTTAATACCGTAATACGTATTTCATACTACGTATGCATAAGACGACCGATAAGAGTGGCAAAAGTTTTTGATCTCAACTTTATGCCGTGTGAGACTCTTGAGAATATGAGTTTCGCATTTAGTGCCCTCATGACTCTAACTTATTCTCAAAGTTTCTATTCAGTGTTCGCTATCTTAGGATGTTGCCAATGGTCATGAATGATTCGATCTAATGGGGCATTTCTAGAAAAGCGAGCTGGACTGAAATAGAGAGATTGAAGGAAAGAGGAAGATCAATTTATTATGATGTCACATTCTATGTTTGTATTCACAGGTCGACCAATTATGATTTTAAGTAAATCATAGTTGTGAATACAATATACGAGATACTAAAAGAGATCAAAAGGGATATAAATGTGACTGATTGATCTAGGGGACTGCATACTATATCTACTCGGAAAACGTTGTACCCAATTTTGAGCTGCTATGTATTCCTAACAGATGCATCGCAACGAGCTCTCGAAGTATGTTGGTCGCACGGATTATTTGCTAGTATGAATATTGCAGAGAAGAGAGAGTTATGATTAGCCCACCATGTGCGAGTGGGAGATGATGGATCTTATGTGGGCCGCCCATGTTGGGAAAGACCGGTCCATGATCTATCATGCCGGCCCATCATCCATTGAGGGATTACTTGCGGATAAGGCGGTTACGGATAAAGTAGTAATCGCTAAGGGCAGTTTAAATTGAACTGGGAGATATTCAGAAGATATGTGATTGTGTATCTGAAAATCTTCTCTGTAGAACGTAGTTCTAAAAAAAAGTCTCCCAAAGTGCAAACAAAGTTCCGCTTCGCAGAGGAATCCGCCAAGAACTCAAGCCTGCAAGTGGTGCATTTAATCTGTGGCAAAAGAGGTATGTTCGTTCATGTAATATACTTCAAACGATCGGTGATTCAAGCGTAGAATGGGCACGTTTTTCCGCAAATTATGTATTATGTTTAGGAATCTGTTTCCGTCACTCCTTTAAGCTTATCATCCCTGCAGCTCACCTGTCAGAGCGGCACGCTTCCATCGCTCTCTGACCTAAGTCATCTAAAGAAGCTGACCCTTCACTCTTGCATGTCTCTTCAAAGCATTCCAGCGCTTCCCCCTGGCATAGGGAAGCTTCGCGTTTGGAAATGTCCCAAATTGGAAACTCTGCCAAATCTTTCCAATTTGAAATCCTTGTCGGAATTAGAGCTCTTGCAATGCTATGGGCTGAAGGAATTGGATGGTCTGGAAGCTTTAGAATCCCTAAGAAGGTTGGACGTATCCACAAGCACAGAGTTGTCCAACCTCCACGACTTTGAAGATTTAGAGTCGTTGAGATACTTGGACCTGCAAAGCTACGATGGAAATGTGGATAATCTCCATGTGATAGAAGGCCTTCGCCAATTGAAATCCCTGGAAGTGTTCAATATCTCTGCGCGCAATCACATTCAACAACTGGACCTTTCAAATTCGAAGGATCTGAAGCAATTGATTGTTAATAATTGCAAGAGCTTAGATAAGATCGACTTCCATAATGGTATAAAATCCCTGGAACGCTTTGATAGGGATGGGTGTCAGTCACATATCATCAGCCTCTTTAGCAAGTGACAGGTCATGATTCCAGAGGGAAAGAGCAGCAAAAAAGCTGACTAAGGTTCACAGGCTATTGAGCCCGAATCAGACAAGCAAATCCTCCTATGAGCTTTCCTGAGGAGTCTCAGCATACACTAACCACTGCACACGGTGTAGAGCTAGCAACGAAGGCTGCGTCCACATTAAGCTTAAGAGCTCCTTTCTCCGGCGGCGTCCAGATCGCAGGTGAGATACCTTCTCGTTCTGATTTTCTCTTTTGATTTACGCTGCAACTTTTGATATTTTCGTGCAAGGCTATAGCTTCATTAACAGTCGCTTGTGGATCTGGTGATTTGCCTCTAAAAATCGCATTGGTTCTCGCCTTCCACAGGAACCAGAGTACTTAAAAAACGAGCTCAAGAGACGGCGAGGCTGGTAATGCGCTCTTGTAGTTTAATAGCCACCGATCTATGCTTGTGAGGCCTTGATCTTCAATTCTGATTTGTAAATTGTGGTCTGACCAGACTTTGGTTGTCCAGGGACAAAGGAGAAAGAGGTGCTCTGTTGTCTCCGGACACTTCTTACACACTGGGCACAATGGGTCAGGTAAGATTCTTCGCTTGAACAAGTTTTCCTTTGTAGGCAAGGCATTTTGGCAAAGTTGCCATAGGAATAGTTTCATATTCCACACTTTAGACCATAGGGCTCGTGGTATTTGGTACGAGGATGAGGCTTGTTGATTGGCTGGGCCGTCTACTTCTTTTCTGAGATGATTATAACCGCTTTTGACTGAGTAATTCCCTGATTTGGCTGCTGTCCATACCAGTCTATCTTTCTCTTCAATAGATGGGATGGGGATGGCCAAGATTTCTTCCACGATACTATCTTCAAACAAGCTATAAAGGCTTTGTTCATTCCATTTGGCCCGGTCTCTATTAATTAACTCAGACACTAATTGAGGATCATCTTGGTTTGTTGGACCGGCAATTGTACCCAATTTTGTCCACCTGTCTTCACGAATTTTAATCGATTTTCCATTCCTTACTGACCATTGAACCGAGCCAGCTAATGCATCTCTTCCAATCAGCAAGCTGTGCCACCCCCAAGACGATCTTTGTCCTTTCCTCGCATGCCAAAAATCAGTGTTGGGGAAGTAGAGCCCTTTCAGTATTTGGCACCAAAGCGTCGAAGGTAATTGTGCCATCCTCCAAGCCTGTTTGCCCAACATTGCCCTATTAAAGGTGATTAGGTCTCGAAAACCCATACCTCCACTGTCCTTCCTCTTTTTCATTACCTCCCAACACTTCCAGTGTATACCAGCCTTAGAATCCTTGTTTTTCCACCAGAATGAGGCAATTTTTTGTTCTATGGCTCTACACACGGAAAGCGGTATCTTGAAGATTGACATGGCATATTGCGGGAGAGCTTGGACAACCGTTTTCAATAAGATCTCCTTTCCAGCCTTCGACATCATCTTTTCTTTCCACCCTTCAAGTTTCATGTTTACCCTAGCTAGTATCCAAGCAAACATTTGCTTCTTTGATACGCCCCAATCTGAAGGGATACCCAAGTATTTCCCTGTTTTGTCTATTTCTGGGACTCTCAATTCCTGCGCCATATTTCTGCGAAGATATGGGGGCAGCCCGAGCTAAAGAAGACACCCGACTTGTTTAAATTGATTGCCTGGCGGCCCTGGCCCGTGGCAACACAGTATTGATTGAGAATGTTAGCTAGGTTTTGGCATTCTATAACTATCGCCTTTTCAAGCGGAAGCCCTAGCACTGCTTCAAGGTGTGCGCTTTATGAAAGAATGGAGAAGAGAGAACATGGGGCGAGAAGTAACCGTGGAAGTGGAGTCTGACAACTCTACTTTAGTTCAGTCAATCACGTGTGAAGACCAACCTCCTTGGGATGTGGAAGTACTCATAAAAGAATGTCGGGCCTCGCTTTCTTGTATGCCTTTTTTATGTTTATCCCACTGCTCTAGAACCCAAAATAATGCAGCGGATTGGGTCGCTAAAGCTCAACTTCGCGGGACTCTTCCTCGGTGCTGGGTGTCCAATCCCCCTCAATCCCTTTTAGATATTTTGTATGCCGAAACCCATTTCAGTTGTGCTTTCATTTTATCTACTTAAATGAAATGGAAGGATGCATTTTCGACCAAAAAAAAAAAAGGTTCACAGGCTAAGGTTAGATTTTACATTTGATAGTACTGTATACGATTCATTGGGAGCGACCCCAAAAAGATAGGGCCGAGGACACTGCGCTGCATGAAAGAATTGTGAAGAAGATGGAAATTATGGCAGCAAGACAAAGATCTGATTCTGGAGATTGCTGAAGTCTTCCTTCTAAATGTAAATATAGCAGGTAAACCACCGCTTTTCTGTTGAGATTACCTGCTTTCATTAGTATTTTAAGTTTGCATGGGGATTTTCTTTGACGTGTTATTATTTTCCGTCTTAATTCCGGGAACTGGGGGAAGTTGTTGGAGCAAGTAAATTGTAATGCTTCAGTGTTATCTGGCTCGTGATCATGATACGAATAAAAAAGATCAGAATGCCTCCAAAAGTATATTAGATGTCGTCAGTCAAATAGTAAGAGATTCTTCATCCTCGACATGGTATCTATCTGCGCTTGTGTAAATAAAGTAGTACTTTTCTCCAACTTCTGTTAAAGTTGGTTTTCTTGTACTATGTGGTTGTCCTTTTTATGCAGAAGGATGAAGAAAAGAAATTTACTATCTGACGGATTCTGGATACTGCCCTTGGATATGTGATTTTGATTGCATTTTAGCAATTTGTTATTTTGTCATGGAAGCAGGCAGTGAAGGTACCATAATGTGTTTTGGATTTTCTCAAAGCCAGGACAATAATGTCAAGTTGAAGAATCTCAATGGATCTATACCAGACTTTGTTCGTCGTTTAATATGCCAAAATGAAGATTGCTCTCTCTGAAGGTAGATATATAGCATTGATCATGCCGAAAGTATTGTCATCAACGGTAGAAAACCCGGTAAGATGGTTTTTTTTTTTTTAATTGAATTGCTCAAAGAACTGATTCCTACACCGGAGTGCTAACCTTGTTTTGCAGATTAGTGTCTTCCGCAACAAGAAGGATAGAATAGAAGAAACCGGAAGGCAATCAAAAAGGAGAATTTTTGTGGAAGCTAAGCCAGGAACGTGAGCTCTGACACGATGTCACGAAAGGGGAAGGAAGAGAAATGAGAACAAAGAAAGAATTGTATTTCTGTTACTACTTGGTTTACATGTACAATGCTTAATATATAATACAAGATATGTGCAATAAGAGGAGAGAATATCTTTTATATAATCAATCCTAATCCTAGATTGATTCATTCAATCAACTATAATCTCGCAATGATTTAAATGTATCAATCATTATCTGGATTGATTCAGGCATATCTTCCAACAATAGGAACCAAAAGCCTTTCTTTTTGAAGACAACTTGCAGTGACCGGTGAGCTGACAATGGCAATGATATCGTAGTCCGGATGGTCCTCGATGATTTTTACGGGCTTATTCCCTTGATGTTCAGATATTGCGTTCCATGAATCTGTAAGAATACTGGATGACATTGTCAAGTTTGCCAAATACAATCCATTGCTGAATCTGCAATTCACGAAACCAACAGACTGACATAATCAGGAAGATGTTCGAGCAGTAAAAAGTCAATGTAAAATGCAAGCACTTTCTTCGCAGATCTTGGATTAGGTAATTCAGTTACAGAAACCAAGTAAAGGAAAATAAAATCTATATACAGGCTCAGGATCTTACAACGGTTCCATTCTGGGAATGTCGTTGGATTCGCACAAACACGGAAACTTAATGTATGAACCGCGTCCTCTTCTGATTTATAGAACTCCGAGGAAGAAACTAGCGACAGATTGCTTAGTAAATTTCTTATTTTACAAAAAAGTTAAACTTCATTTTAATCCTCGAGATGGGGTCCCCAGTATTCCAGTTGGTCTGTTTGAGACAAATTAAATTTGATAGGAGACTTCCAGGAAAGACCGTGTGTTGGCGTTCAATGTTCTAAAACCGATTTTCAAACTCCACTAGTCATTATGGTCATAAGAGAAAACTCCAAAAGTCATTCACGTGCCAAAATAAGAAATTCTGAAAGTCGTTGTCTTATTAGTTATCAATGGGCCCTAGCCAACAGAGATTGGATTATTTGGTCGGAGAAAAAAGAGATTGGATTATGTATTAGAGTAGTAAGATAATATTTGTACTGACACCCAAAAATGACCAAATCTTTTTAATTGACATGATGCCAATCTGGATATAGAGCTCGGTTGGGAAAAGTAACAAAAACATCATAAACCTATTGTATTGGTACCAATTCAATCCTAAACCTTTCAATTGGACCAATTTAGTTCTAAACCTTTTCATATTGCTACCAATTTAGTCCATTCAATCAATTTAGGCCGGAATTTGTTGACATAGACACCGGTCGTTCTACGTGATACAGCCGGCGCTGATATTGAATTTTTTAATAATTTTTAATGTTTTTTTTTGCCGTTTTGTCCTTTCTTCTCCTTCCTTGGGCCTGTGGCCGGTGGCCATGGCCGGCGACCGGTCACAGGCGAGGGCCGACAACTGTGGAATTTTTTTTAGTCAATTAATAATCCAATTTTCAGTCAAGAGGAAACACAAAAGTTGCTACGGAGGGCTTTTCCCAATCTGAATGTGGAAAATATATATAAAACGACAAACGTACTTCATCTTCTTGCTTTGTGTCACGGGTTGATTCCCTTAGGTTGCGTATGACAACGATTCTGTGCCCGGGAACAGATTCTGCTCAGAAATGATTCTTTTTTATTCTGTGCCCGGAATTGATTTTGAGCATTTTAAGGCGTTTGTTAACGGCCCAAAATTCCATCCTTGGAATAGAAAAAGAATAGAAATGCGTTTGGTATCGCCACAAAATTTCTTTTTATTAATAATATTTTTAAATATTTTAATATTTCTTTCTTTTTTTTCTTTTCCTCCTTCTTGGCCATGGCCTGCTCGCCGGCCATGACCGGTAAAATATTTTTTTATTAATAATATTTTTATTAAAAGTATTTTTTCTTTTTTTTGGCCATGGCCCGGTCGCCGGCCATGATCGGTAAAATATTTTTTTTATTAATAATATTTTTTATTAAAATATTTTTATTTTTTTTTGCCATGGCCTGGTTGCCGGCCATGGCAGGTAAAATATTTTTTATTAATAATATTTTTTATTAAAAATATACATTTTTATTTTTTTGGGCCATGGCCGGTAAAATATTTTTTTTATTAAAATATTTTTATTAAAAAGATATATTTTTATTTTTTTGGCCATGGCCTGGTCGCCGGCCATGGCTGGTAAAATATTTTCTTTATTAAAATATTTTTATTAAAAATATATTTTTTTGCCATGGCCTGATAGTCGGCCATGGCCTGTAAAATATTTTTTTTATTAATAATATTTGTATTTAAAATATACATTTTTATTTTTTTTTTTGGTCATGGCCTGGTCGCTGACCATGGCCGGTAAAATATTTTTTTTATAAATAATATTTTTTATTAAAATATTTTTATTAAAAATATATACTTTTTCTTTTTTTGCCATGGCCTGGTTACCGGCCATGATAGGTAAAATATTTTTTTTATTAATATTATTTTTTATTAAAATATTTTTATAAAAAATATATATTTTTCTTTTTTTTGGCCATGGCCGGTAAAATATTTTTTATTTTAATAATATTTTTTATAAAATATTTTATTCTCGTCAGATCCGGCGAGGGCGGTCCTCGGGCCGGACATTAGAAGCTACATTAAAAACCAAGAAAAGGAAGAAGAAAAAAAATCGATTCTCAAAATTGTTTCCAGAATCAAGAAGCTACTTTTTTTTTATTCTTGATTCTGCTCCAAAACTGATTCTGGGAACAATTTTTGACAAAATTGTGCCCAGAATCAAAAAATTAAACAAACGCATTTCTGTTCCCAAACTGATTCTGGGAACAAAAGAACAGAATCAAACACTGTTTGGCAAGTTGTCATGCGCAGCCTTACTCATGTGGCCTAAGTAATTCATTATTAAGTCCCCCTTACTTGCTCACACTCACAAAGATCTTTAGAGAAACTCTAGAGAGCGACCCATTTATATATAAGTACAAGCTTAATCATAGCCCTAGAACTCTCATCAATCTAATGATGGGGATCGCATCTGCTCATCTTACCAACTACCCGCAACTATTACAGGAACACTTTAGAATAGGGTACAATCATAGTATTGCCCGCCTCTCGAATATTTTAGAGAACACTGGAGAGGCTTGCCGATCTTCTCGGATGATTCATGGTTCTTGGAGTGTTGGAAACCTCAGGACTGTGACACTTGCCTCCTACTTTCGTTTCTTCCTCTTTACTAGCAATAAAGAAAATCATTACCCATGCTCAAGATGCGAAATCTAGAAATTTCACAATAATAAGTATGTGATGTTGGAAATTTTCTATGTTCGATAATGATATTTGGATTATAGTCTAAGTAGTATTTAGCTTAGTATTTGTGCTGACACGTAGAAATCATTGTTAGACCGTAATTTGTGAGGCGCAGATTTGGGAACGTAATCATTTCGAGCTCGACGTGTTTAGAATTTTAAACTTTGTTGTATATGTTAATGGTAGTGCGGTATTAATTAAATTGCCGCCGTCTTAGTAATTAATGGGTAATATTATTAGATTAAACTTTGGTTAATTAGTGATAATCATTATTTTCTAATTGTCATAAAAGGAGGGGTGGGAGGTATTCTGTTTTTCATCTTAATTCCTTACCAAAATCTCTCTTCAGACACCTTACTCTCACGTGGCTTATGAAGGGTTAAACATGCCAGATGCCCTCTTAACATAAGCTTCTTGTACTATCTTGACACCTAGCCATAGGTAATCATTTTCCTTGGCCATTACTCTTTCGTAATCAGTTTGGATTTCTTACACCTGGCCGTGGATGGAAAGAGGAAGTGTCACCTGTGAGTGCATGCACTTATCCATCTCACAATCTACTCCTCTATTTCATTTTCATCTGGGCAACATCGAAAAAAATTTTACCCCAAATTGTAACTCTCTTCTTCACCGTCAATCTTCAAAGAGAATTTACTTCATTAACACCCAATACAAAATCTACAAGCTGGTTTTGGGCATTCAGATTTTAGACAAGGTAAGTGAAGACTCTAAAGTTAAGCTAGTTAAATCTACTTGACACTTTTTAACTTGATTGCTTGAGAAATTATTTTGTGATGTATGATAATAGTGAAGATATCGTGATGGTTGGATCTGCTTTGCTGGTTCTGTACGTGTTCAAATGGATGTGTTTTGTTTCTATAAAGTGTGTTGAAAACGGCAAGTGTAATGGTTAAATCTGAACATGTAAATGTCATCTTTGAGGTGATTGTGGAAATTGTCTTGCTAGTTTTATGTATGTTTAAAAGGGTAGAAAATCGTTTTACTCAAAGTAGAGTATATTAGGTGAGTGTAAATGATGATTCTATTTACTTTTGAAATGAGTAGATTTTAATCTCAAATTCTGATTCCGTTTACTTTTGAATTGAATAAATTTTAGCATCAAATTTTGGTTCTGGTTACTTTTAAAACTGAACATGTCAAAATCTGGACATGTCTATTTTGAAACCAAGCAAATTTTACTGTTAAAATCTGGACATGTCTTTTTTGAAATCAAACATAATTTATTTTCAAAGTCTAGACGTATGTATTTTGAATCCGAGTAGACTTTATTTTCAAAGTCTAGACGTATGTATTTTGAACCCGAGTAGACTTTATTTTCAAAGTCTAGACGTATGTATTTTGAAGCCGAGTATACTTTATTTTCAAAGTCTGGACATATGTATTTTGAATTCGAGTAGACTTTACTTTCAAAGTCTGGACGTATGTATTTTTGAACCCGAGTAGACTTTACTTTCAAAGTCTGGACATATGTATTTTTGAACCCGAGTATACTTTACTTTTAAAGTCTGGACGTATATATTTTTGAACTCGAGTAGACTTTATGTAACAGCCCGAATTTCGATGTAATTCCGGGATCAATAATGCTGATATTATTTCGCATTTCATTTTAGTAAGTCTCGCCCAGAGCTGATCACTCTCGGGACACTAACCAATGGGGTATGGCTAACTAGAAACCGGTACGTGGACCGGGGACCCTATCGTGAAATGGACACCGATCACGAGAGACGCTGAGGGAATATTTTGGGCCAACGTAGGCCGATCGTAGGAAAGGGTAATGGATTGGGTTTGGCCAAGGCCTACGATGTACAATAGGGACGCAGGTGATTCTGCAAGACCGAAAGTACACGTGGCCAACTAGTCCTAAACTTAAACCGAACGATCGTGACCTCTGGAACTAGTGATAATTTCTCATTCTCTCAATGATCAGGACCATTACGATACGGATAGCCCTAGGTCGATACGCGTAACCTCTAAACAGCCTCCCGTTAGTGAGAGAGACCCTGAAATTGAAAGTTTAGCGAGTATTGTTCACGGAATTGGGCCCGGATTACGATGTCGATTTTTAAAGGCTTAAGAGACTATTTTTGGGAATCTGACGTCATATTACGCTGGCCACACACGTTTGGAGTTAGTACGAGTAAAAATTGGAATTTCGGTCCGGGGGTGAAAAATTACGATTTTGCCCCTCGGGACGCCAGCGTTGCTTTTCGAGGCCAAATGAGGTTATTTTTTGAGGCCGACACCATTTTTGGGTGGCCACGCATACCAGGAGTTGTTTTGGACAAAAACTGGAATTTCGACAAAAATTGGAAAAATAATATTATTTTATTCCCGAAACTTTGCAGTCGATTTCCAAGGGCTTAAAAAGTGAATTTCGCGATTCCGACGCCATATTATGTTGGCCACGCACATATGGAACGCGTATGTGTGAAAATTGAAATTTCGCCCCGGGA